AAAACTCGGACGGAAAGTCCCCGTCCGCTGCCGAGAGACGTGGGAAATCGTGTCGAGTTTGCATAAGACCAGTCCCCGATGAATCGGAGAAGTATAATAGTTGTCGGAGAAGTGGCCACTTGCCGATAGTCCGATCGGTCCGAGGTTGCAATTACCACCGGAAGGGCCAACGTTCTCGGCCGCGTTCGAGGCGTAATTCCATACGTGCGTCGGGACCTCGCGAAATCGATAATCACCGCCGCCCTGCGACCACAATGACAACGTAAATCAACCTCGAGGCGATTAATAGAGTCCGGTATGTTCGAAAGAAGATTCGCGTTAATTATTCGCCAGGGGTAACAAGGTTACTACGAACGAGCCGCGAATGGCTGCCATTTTTAACCTCGCGCGGAGGACGTCGGGAAAAAATGGCGTGCGACATAAACGCGAGGACATGGTTAGATTTCCTATCGAAAACTGTTCCTCGCTTCGCAATTTTATCGAGATAATTTTAACCCTTTGCACTCGAGAGGTGACCCTCCGTCACCATTTCGTAAAATTTGGAAGATCGATATTAATTAATATATCAAATTTAATGCAATGTAACAGTGTGCAAAGTATCGAAATCAAATAATTTTACAATTCTATTATTATACAATTCTTTATTTACTGCTCAAAAAAGTATCGTCAGTTTTTTAATAGAGAATCTTTGATTTTCTACTCTTTTCTAACCAAAAAATCGTCGAGTGCAAAGGGTTAACTTCCGAATGAAAGAGGCAAGATGGCGACGATATCGAATTTCAACCAGCCGATCGATTCGTTCCGCGAGCGACAATTTTAATTCGTCAACATCCTCTTAAAGAACTGGAAATAACTTTTCCGCGTATTTATTAATCCGCTATATACCACGAACGTTTGCGCCACCACCCGGAACCTCCGTGAAAGATTGAAACGAGACTCGAGAAAGTGGAACGTAAACTCCGCAGCGTCCCCCTGTGCACGGAAGTTAGCCAGGCCCTAGGAATAATTGTTAACCAGTCGGTTCCGTGTTCCCAGCACCGAAACCGCAGGGACACGCAAAGTTTTTCGCGGAAATCGGCGAACGTGTTGAAGAGGAACTCGCGCGATAGCGCTGCCGGCGTTTAATTAAATGGCAGCCTTTTAATTGCTGCATACAATTAAACGGCGAGGATTCATCGATGCGAGCGTGGCTGTTGTTGTTGCGTCGTTTATCGAACGATATCTCCTCGCGTCGCTGCTAACGACTATTGCATCTTTAATCGCGCAACAATATCAATCGAACACGTTCCACGCAGTCGGTTCCAATTATTCGAACGCTCTCGCAGTCTTTTATCGTCTAGAGCCAACTTTGCCCCTGCCATCGACGCTGGTCCATGGATTTTCGAAAATGTTCCTACACCAGTGAGGGTTCCATGGACTCCTGCATTCGCTTGCTTCGTTCCCCTGTAAACCGAGTATCTCCAAAGTCGAACTTGTTGCATCGTTCGTCGAACGACGCGTCGCGGCGTCTGCCTGCCAAGCTGCTAACGAACACTGCATCTTTAATCGCGCGATACATCGGTTAAACGAGCTCTACGCGATCGATTCCAATTTGTCGGACCTTTTCCCAGTTTCCCATCGTCCAGACGAGTCGACTCGGACTCTTGTGCGATCTAAATTCTGTCATTTAGTCCTGTGCCATAGGTGTTTAATGTCAACGGCAGACATCCGAGGTGCCACTACCCTCACTCGTTGGGCATACCAAACAAAATCTGATCCCAACTTTCCTTTCATATCCATCTCATGTGCCGTAAGAGTGTCCCGAGGTCTGGTCCGCCAAGTGACATGTCAGTTGCGGATCGAATCGTGATTTTATTAAAAAACAAACCCCTCCTGGCCCTGTGGGAACAGAATGGGGTTGGACACGATGTACCCTCAGCCACCTCCTCCACTTCGGCTTAAGCCAAATGCCTCTTGTGTCAATACGTCTTTCATGGCCCGCAGGCCAATGCTCATAGCTCGGGTAAGGTGGGGTCGCTGCTCCCCAACAGCGTGCACCATCGCTGCCCTGCCTTAAGGTTTCCAGAGATAGTATCGCTGAATTCGCGGACCTCGAGAACACCGTCGCCATTTTGGCTCCCGTTTCCCCGTTGAAACGAATTCAAGTCGAACTACCCTCGATTCGTGTCGTTAAACGTTGCTCACACCTCGCGTGGAAATTCGGGAAGTCCGGGAGCGCGCGTACGAGGCTAAGATCCAAGAACCGAATTACCGGAGGTCGGGTTCCAAAGAGCAAAGTTCCGGCCGAGTCTAAGCTGCTGCCGCTTTTATAAAGCTGCAGCACACCTAGTTACCGTGTTATTTTCCAATTTTCGTGCGAGCAACGCCACCGAAAGCGGCAAATTGCCACAGTTTTTGGCGCCACTTCAGCGACCGAGTTCTCCGCAGCGAGAATTTCGGTTCGCAGCCCTCTGGCGCGGCATAATTTCCAAATTAGCCGTACAAGCAGCCGCGATACACGCTGTGCTTCGACTGTTGGTAATTCGCGAAAGAGCCGAGCTCTCGCCGCGGAATATCTGTCTCGCGATTCACGAGCGTGGCCCGAGAGGCAATAATCCGAATGCTGGCAAGGGGGAGAAGAATGGGAAGAAGAATAAGACGGCGAAGCCAGGGGGGTAGAGAATGGAAATGGAAAGTCTAATAAGGCGTGGCCGAGGGCCGATCGTTCCTTTTCTGCGGAGCAACGCGACAAAAGCTCGCTCTCTCCCCCCTTCCGCGCGTCTCCTCTTCATTTTTCCGTCCTCGACGTTTCCCAGGCGTGTCGCCTATTTTCCCTGGCCGCTTTCCACCCGCGGGAAATGACGGTAAGGCGGTCAAAGGCCTGCGAACCAGTTGCCCGATTTTCGCTAGCCCGGCTCTCTCCTTCGAATTAAACGCGAGCTGCTTTAACACGGTGCGAGATTTCTGAAGATTTCCACTGAAAGACGTCGTCGGAGAATGAAAGTAGAGACCTAGGGGGGTGCTTGGGTGGAGACTGCAGGCAGTTCCTAGCGCGTATACTTAAATTCCCGAACCTCTCGCAGAGGCAACGCGCGTTCTGAATGGGAAAGCTTCGATCGGATATCATGCTCGATAACGCGTTCTAAAAGATTCGAGGAATAATTCTAGGATGCCCCATCCGTGATGCCGGTGGGACGTTATAAACCGGTGATCCCGAGGAAAAGACGAGCTTCTTCGGCCCCGTTCCGTAGCAGTTTAATTCCTTACCCTCGACTACCTCCGTCCTCCGCGTATGAATTCTCCGGGGGTTTTCTAATTACGTCAAGCAGAGTTCTACGGCTGCAATGGACCGAGAACGCTTAAAATTCTCTGGCCTGGTACGTCGGAACGAGCAGGTTCGCAATAAGCGTCACCGTGCAGCAGGGAAATGAGACACCGGAGACAAATAAACGAAACGGGACCAGTCGAATCGCGATCCTCGAGCTCTGCGTTCCACGCGAGAGACGCTGGATGTATCGGGACGAGGAATCGTCCTCCTCGGGACAACCTTCCGTACTCGCAGGATACGTGCACGGTACATGCAGTATGAGCATCGTACGCGAGCTTTCGAGGCAATTGTTGCGCGGCGGTATCGAGACGAGACAGACGTGCGCGGTCGACTGGCTCCGACGACGCGACGTATTCCGGCGAACCGAGCTGGAAAACTCGAGACAGCCTCGCCTGCAGCTCGAAAGAACGACGACCGTTGGCAAGATCGAGGGGATGAGACGGTTGGATACGGTCGATTTGGTGGGAAAGCGAGTCTCCGGATAATTGGAAGACTTTCGAAAAAGCTAAATTGATCGAGATCGGGCAAGGCTTGACGATGATTGATTCGCTGCGAGTCAAACCGTGCGCGACGAACAGACCTCCGCTCTAAGTGGATTAAATTTCGATTAATCTCGATCTAGGATTTTAATGAAGCGCACGCTGTACCGTCGCGTCGAATGCTATCGTCGAACTTGGTAAAATTTAAACGAGTAGGCGATTAGGTTAGTCGAGCCCCGCGAATTCTGCGAAGGAAAAAGGGAGCCCTTGGTCTCTGTCGTCCTTCTCCGAACCCGGTAGCTCGTTCGAGGCTCCCCCGAGTTCTCGAGCGGGTCGAGAGATCCACATCCATCGTCGGTAATTCAATGTACGACTCGCGGCGTGGATCCCGCGCGACGAGAAAGCGGCCTCGAGCAGCTCGCGGCGGATAACGTTGGAAAGTTGGAAAAAGAGCCAATTAAAGGAATGATTTACGAGGGACACGGCGGGGATTCGCGTTACGCTTCGACGTGGCTCGCTCGGACAATTAGCCGCTGAATTATTTCGCTGTTCTCGGAACAAGAACGAAGTAAAGTCATTGAGATGGGAAAACGGGGCCGAGAGATCTTTGTACGATCGTCATTTTCGCGGTCAGCGGGGAGAAGCCCGGCCGGAAAGCGTCGTTTCTTCCACGAGAAAGAATTCCTCTATTTCCAACGCGAGGCTTTCTCGTGCTCGCCGAGAGCAGACGATTATTTGTCGTTTCACCTCGGATCTGCTCCACGTTTTCGATTGGGCCCTGTTCCCGTCCAGTGTCCGCCAAGGTGGAGAGAAGATAACGTGGTCCCACGGAGATTAAGTCGAGAAGATCACGGACGAATCGGAGAACGAATAATTAAAAGTTTCATCCGTGCCCCAATTATTGCCTTGCTGGGTCAAACGGCCGACCCGTTTCACCTGGCCAGGCTTCCGCCGTGTCTCTGCAAGGATATCGAATCAGTTTCATACTCTCGTACTTCGCTCGGACGTCAAACCCGAGGAAATAGATCGGAGACACAGGAGACGCCGAGATGGAGGAACGTTATCCCTTTTCCAGGGACATTGCTCGTCGGATAAACGAGTTTATGGGAGAAAGGGGATGACGATGGAGAATGCGTCGCCGATACGAATTCCCTCGAGTTTGTAAATAAAGGTTCATACCCGTTGTAACGTCTTTCTTCGTTTAATCTTCACAGCCTCGGACCTGGACTGCATAAGGGCGCTGTTCAACGAGAAAGAGAAGGAGCTCTCTCTGGCGGTGGCGAAGGTCGAGGAGCTGACGAGACAGCTCGAGGAGCTACGGGGCCGGCAGAACGCGGCCGGGACCGGAAGCGGAGGCGGTGGCGCCGGAGGCGTCGGTGGCGGAGGCGTTGGCGGCGGCGGCGGCGGACACTTGTCGACACCGGCCAGCGCCGAGCTGGAAAAACTCAGAAGGGAGCTTATGGTGAGCCCTTTAACCCTCTCTGGCCTTTTCTCTCCGTAGCTGCGCGATTCCGGATCGCGGCTCCCATTTGCAGTAAATTGTAACTCCAACTTCCGAGGCAGAATAGTTGAAGAACCGGCTAACGGCTGCCAACTGAGTGCTTACCTGCCGGACAGAATTTTCGTGCTTTCTTAAACTAACGGTTGAACGTTGGAATTTTTGGGGAAATTTCTTACTTGAGAAAACCTCGTAGACGTAGAATCGTTGTTTCTTCCTTTATTTTTCCTCCATCAGGGGTTGCGCGTAAATTTGCAGCTGCGTTATCCTCGAGATGTTTATAGTAGAATGGAATTCGAAGATAGCCTGGATAGTTAGGGCAGTGATCCGGTAGACGGAGCTGCCGAGTCTCGAGTTTCTATTAAGATAAATTTTATTGAGCGCTTTCACGGCTAGCCAACGTCCAGCGAACGTTCCACGGGGATTCGGATAAATTCCTTCTCTCTTTTCGCCAACAGTACCGTAATAAGATGAACGAGCAGCAGAACCAGGTGGTATCTCAGCAACGGTTAGCCCTTGCACAACGACAGGCGGAAATGGCGTCGATAGACGCGAGGATAGCTCAGCTTCAGGGTCGTCTTCAGCGTAAGAGAGCCTTGAATCAGCGACTGAGCCAGCAGCTGGGCTCTGGGAACCGCACGAACGCGAACACTGGGTTCACGGAATCGAAACTGGACTTCAACGCCGGGGGAAAGTCCAGGCCAGCTGGGAACATAGCCGCCATTGAACCATACTCCCACATACCGAACGACAACGATTTTAATCTGAACAAAAACGATCCCAAGTACCAGACACTGCCTTACAACACCAAGTTCACGGTGAACTTCAAGGCTGCTGAGGATGACGTTAATAAAAATAAGATTCAACACTCGGCTAGCGCTTCTCAGCTGGGCCAGAGGGCGGCTTTCCAACAGTTTGGACATCAGATAGCTCATAGCCAGTCCCAGTCGCATATTCAAGGTTGGTAGTTTCAGAATAACCCGTTCAAACAGCCCTAAGGATTGCTCTAAATTTCATTTCTAGAGGTACGAGTTTGACTAACCGTGATTCGATCAATGTCCTCAGGCCAATCGCAGTTGCTAGGCACGAATCAACAGCAGCACAATCAGAACCTGTCCAATCAGCCCGTGAACATGCAACAGACCTGCAACAACAACAATAACAATAACAACAACACCAACAGCACGAATAACAACCTGATCAGTTCGTCGCACAACTTCAGCCCGGAGGGTCTGTCGCAAAATCTTCGGATTCATCATCAACAGCAGCAGCAGCAGCAGCCACAGTCGCAGCAACAACAGCAGCAGCAGCACGGTAACGTTCAACAGAAGCAACACAACGTTGGTTCGTCGGCGTCGAATCTCGGCACCACGGTGTCCATCACCCAAACCCAGAATCACAGAAACCTGCAAACACATCAGAAACCGGTATCCAGCGTGGCGCCAAGCTTCTCCGTGAAGTCTCAGATCTATCAGACTTCCTCTACGAAGATCCATCCTGTGATGCCGCAAACGTTGAGTCTGATATGCCGTGGACACAACAACGCGCAAAATTTCGTTGGTCTGAGCACCCAGAGCAACCAGCAGCAATCGAACCAGTCTGTTCCTACCAGCCAAACACCCAACCAGGACCAGAATTACACCTCGAGGCACAATTATCCTGGAATCCAACACTCCACGCAAGCAAACACCCACGTGTCCTCGTCTTCGGTATATCAGACTCAAAACTCTCCTAATCCACCGTCGACCATTCACACGTCGTCCAGCGGGACCAGCTTTGGCAACTCGGTTCAGAGGTACAATCAGACTCAACCGTTAACCAGCCCTACGTCCAGCAACGAGCAATCCGACAAGGTAAAGTTTGAGCAAGGAAAAGGCCAAGAAAAATTCGAACATGTCCTCCCGGCTAAACACGAACAGCAGAGGTACGAGCCTAACCAGGTGTTCAAGTACGATCCTCATCAGATAAAGTACGACCAGCATTCCAAGTATGATCAGCACGGGAAATACGAGCAGACCAATCAGCCGACGAAACTGTACGAGCAATCGAACAAGCACGAACAAACTGGCAATCAGACCAACAAATACGACAACGTGTCGAAGATCGAGCAGGGAAAGTACGAATCCGGCCAGACTAAACACGAACAAATTCACGGAACAAAGTATGATCCTAATCAGAATACTCAGCAATACGGCAAGCACGATCAGCACGAGGTGAGACCGTCGGTGAAGTACGAACACAATACAGGATTCAAACACGAATCCTCGAACAAGTACGATGCTGGGGGGCAGCAGTTCAAGCAGGAACCGGTAAAGTTCGAAAATAATCAGAACAAATTCGAACAGAGTTCCACGACGAAGCACGAGCACAACGGGAAGTTCGAGATCCCGGCAAAGACTGCGGAGAAGCCGTTCGAATTCGATAGGTTGAAGAATGAGAACGAGAGGAAGAATATGGGAGAGGACAAGACGAAACCAGCACTACCTCCGAAACCGAGCAAACCAAACCCTCCACCGCGACTGACTCACCATGAGAAAGTGGATAACTCGAACGATGGAATCGGCGACTGCAAGAACAATTTAGGAATCAGTCCGAGGTTTGTGCACTGTTTGATTATCGTTTGATACGTACTCGAATTTCAATTTCCAGTCGAAAGATTCGATACCTGCTTCGAATTTCAATTTAATTCTCTCAATTCGGGCTTGAATTTTTCAACTGAAATTTAAACCATACCGAGGGACCACTGCTCAATGTGAAACTGTCGGATAGATCAGGGATTTTGGGCACAGCGCGTAAAAACGATTACCGGGTTAATTATAAATGTTAATTAGTTCGTGATCGATTTGGCCGGTGAATCGAAGCCTGTCTCGAATAATAGACACCAAAATAGAACCACTACCGTGCAGCTGAGACAACAGCTTAGTGCTCGCGAGCTCTCCGATCGATCGAGGCTGGATCTAAGTTCCTGCTTCCTGGTCGTTTCCCCTAGTCATCGTCGAATCGCGCGCTTTTCATTCTTTCAATACGCATCGTTCCTCGAAACTGTTTAGTGACCAACAGGACTTTCGGGCCAAAATACGGATGATCGATTCGAATTGGGCTAGACAACCTGCGAAAAGTACCGAAACTCGGGTAAATCTGCTACCTTCGATTAATTCAGACCCTTCCTCCGATGTAATAGCTGCTCCATAATTTCTCCGAGTTCCCTGGCCCAAGAATTGCCCACATCGGTCATACTGTTCCAATTAATCCACCTTCTTCGACAAGCACAATCCTCGAGCTGCTTCGTCATCCTAACTGACGTTTCCACTGAATCCTTCACAGAACAGAGAAAGAAGAAGACGTGCCGCCGATACCCACTTCCGAACCGCCGGAATCACCAACGGAAACCCAGTTCGGCAACCATCAGATCATCAAAGCCAGGCCTCTTACCCTGAAAAAGGCGCCGATCTCCGAGCAACCGAAACTCCGTTACGCCAAGTCGAATGTCCACGTGTCGATAAATCGACGGATTGAAATGCCACCGGCCTTTCTGTTCCCGGAAACCGAGATTCCAGCGGACCTGATGCAAACGGAACAGCAGCAGCAGCAGCAACAGCAACAGCAGCAGCAGCAGCAGCCTCAGCAGCAGACACAGATCATCGACACGACGGACAACTGCAAGAAGAGCGGATCCATCATCAACGAGGACGTGATTAGCAACGAGAAATTGGAAGAAGCGGACATCATCGACGCGTTGAATGTCATCAACATTGAGGACAAGGCGAAGGCGAAGGATTCTGAGAGAAGAACGGAAGTGGAGGTCGATGCAAAGAGCAACGAGGTGATGAGGAGGAAGAAAGGCAACCTGAAGTCCAGCACAGGAAAGGCGAACCTCTCGAGGAGGGTTTCCTTTGATCCTCTGGCTCTTCTGTTGGACGCTAGCCTCGAAGGTGAATTAGAATTGGTGAAGAAGACTGCTAAAGAAGTGGCGAATCCTAGTTCAGCCAACGATGAAGGGATCACTGCCCTTCATAATGCCATTTGCGCCGGACATCTAGAGATCGTTAAGTTTCTGGTAGAGTTTGGCTGCGACGTGAACGCTCAGGACAGCGACGGATGGTAAGAGAAAGCCATTTTATTTTGATCCTACACCTGCAGTCTTCGATCTTTGTTTCATCAGTCGATTTTATTATAGGACGCCCTTGCACTGTGCTGCAAGTTGCAATAATTTATCCATGGTGAGATTCCTAGTGGAGCATGGAGCTTGTATATTCGCCACCACCCTCTCTGACCATGAAACAGCAGCGGAGAAATGCGAAGAGGACGAAGAAGGCTTCGACGGCTGCTCGGAATACTTGTACAGTTAGTACCGATTTCGACAAGTAGCAGGATATCTCTTAAATTCGCAAAGTTTTATCGAGTAATTTCAACGAGCTTTGTATCGCGTCGCAGGTGTCCAAGAGAAGCTCGGAATCATGAACAATGGTCAAGTGTACGCAGTGTTCGACTACGAAGCACAACACAGCGACGAGCTCACTTTGAAGAACGGTGATTCCTTAGTTGTTCTTCGAAAGGGCGATGACAATGAAAGAGAATGGTGGTGGAGCAAACTGGGACACAAGGAAGGCTACGTACCTCGAAATTTACTTGGCGTAAGTTGTTGAAGTACCCACGATGAGAACCGAGGAAATACGACCTGTAGATAATAAAAAGAAAATATTAATATAGATTGAACCTTGAAGTGTCCCTGGAATTACCTTATCTTATCCTTGATAGCCGTACCTGTTTTATAATTTGCTTAATTGGTTCTTACAGCTGTATCCAAGGGTGCAACCGGCAAAGGTGGACTGAAGCGCGTCTCAGCCGGCGAACTCGTAATATTCGATGATTCATTACCACAGTATTCGATTCGCAGCTTTATCTCGTTAAGTATCATAGTTGCATCGTCGCATTACAGATCGTTATCTTAATTTAATCGCGCCCCATTGTCATCCGAACGAAGCGAGCCAAACGTTCTATATAGTTTTTTTTATATTCTTTTTCTTTTCTGTAACACCGAAACGAAGAATATTAGTATCGGGCACGGGTCATGGGTAAATTATGTAACATAATAAACGATAAGGATATAATTAAGTAACAGAAAAATCGGAAGAACGTTAAACTAGATTTTATACACGCGGAAAATTAATTCGTTCTTCTGTTTTCTGGCCCATACCTATATATTCCTTTTCCTTTTTAAGATCATCGAAAATCTTCGAAGAAACGTCACTTTGATTATTACGATGTCAGGTAAAAATTAATCAGGTAAAAAGAATTTCACTGTTTTTACCCGTGATTCCGCTTTTAGTCCCACGACTTGTATAGTTCAGAGTTGGAACGTTCTCGTTTTACCATCACTTTGCGTCGCTGTGAAGATCGTTCAAAAAGTTTCTTCTAGCGTTCAGCCTGTCCGAGACTCGGTTCAAAATGTCCGATTAGGAACCGATGCAACTTCATTCATCTTCGAATCAAGATAAACGCAGATTTCATTTCGTTATTTAAGAGACAATGTTTATTTACGATATTTAAAGTAACAGTAAACGGTAACAGTTTCCTTTTTAAACTTAAGAAGCACTTTCCATTTAATTACGCATCGTTTCCATTTTCTCCTTGAGGGAAAATCCCGAAACTTTTTGAACGATTTTCCAAGTTCGTCGAAAAACGTGACTCTTACTTTTACGTATATTGCGCGAAACGTTCTACATAAGCAACGTAGGCATACTTAAGACACGTTTGATTTGTTTCACCTAAATGTCCCTATTTAGATGAAGTCAGATTATTGTTGCGCTCATTGTTACGTTTTTATTCGTCTAGTGGAATTTTCCAAGTCCGACCGAGCTAATTTCGGATTTCGAAAATGTTCCTAAGAGTGATGTATAATGTAATCTTGCCAATACGCACCTCTTAAATGATCCTTTTTAGAAACAAAATAAGAAAGAAAATTAAGAATTTTGCGCTCGCAAGCAGGAGGGAGATCGGAATAATCTCAATGGTGGTACACAATCGTGTCCAACGTTCTTTTTTTTTTCTTTTTTTTCTCCGTTGTTTGAGAAGTAGTACCCATCAGTGCGATTGAGAATCTCTAAGTAATCGACTTAACACTTGACTAGACACTTGTATAATTGATTAATTATTGCCTAGGAAAAATTCAGAGGACCCGATCAGAAAGATTCTGAGTGCATTGTTATACTGTCTAAAAAAAAAAAAAAATGTGTACAGGTACGTGAAACGAAATTTGACACGGTTCTCAGAATGTTTCTGACGTCTACATACACACGTCACACCTACACACGCGCGCGCAAACACATACACAATACACACATACCACACCCGTAAATGAAGTATGTGCCTTTCAGAAGTAATAATGGATATATTATGTAAGAATGCATGATATATTATGACGAATAAATTGTTTTTAATAGAAATCAGTTTAGATGTACGTTTATTGTCATGAAATTATACAGGCGAAGAATTGTACCAACGAAGTAAGTATCGTCCTTAAGTATTTTTGACAAAATACACGCAACATATATTAAAAGAACGTTAAAACCACATAAATACTTTAAAAGAATGTGTCTGCCGTAAGTAAATTATAAATAATAAAGAACTAACGGTATGCGCGTCTAAAATAAGTTACCTTGTACTACTGATAACGTAATATCTTCTTTAAGCAATGTTCCTCGTTGATGTAATATTAATTATAGTTGCAAAATTTATAAAATGTCAAGTATCTCAAAACAATTAATACAAATCTAATATAAAAATATCATTTGAATATCTTAAATACTCTTAACATTACTACATTAATACCGGTCCATATGAATCTCATTATTTTACTTGAAGTTGTTATAAAAAGATATAGTAAAAAAAAATATAGTTAATCTAACTGGCAACTGTTAAGACTCTTGCAAAGTCTTTACATCACAATCAGGATTAAAATTTATGCATATATTAAAAATATATATGTATATAGAGCTAATGTTTATAATACGTATGGCCTCCTTAATGTTATTGATGTAGAAAAATGTTTAAGTTTCATTATTTTTTACTTCGTTTATCAGCTGCAAACAAACTTTTAAATCGTCGTAATCTCCAACCATGGTATCGAGTCTATAAACAATTCAATAAAATAATGCAATATCTTTTATGTTAAACAAAACAAAAATCAAATTTCTTTTATCAATACCTGTCAGCAAACATATCCAATACAGTACTCATGAAATTTCCTTTCTTCAAACCTTGAGAACAAAAATGTGTCAAATTTTTAAAACATTTATGAGTCAAATTACAAAGACTTTGATTTTCTCCTTCATGTAGCTGCTTTGTAACATTCCATGCTGCGTACACATAATGCATTACTGATATCCAGTGTTGTGATTCTATAAGTCTTTTTCCTTGATCAATAATAGCTTTCTGTGTACAATCAATATAACATTAATAACAAATTAAAATGAAAAGATATACAAAAATTAAAGTCATTGCACCTGAAAAGCATCTAAGTGAATGTGAATGTGACTGTCAGATAAATCATCCATGTTAGATGACACAATACTGGCTAGTATATTTTGCTTCAAATTGTTTAATGTATCAATTAATGGTTGTATATCAGCCATAGGCATTTTTCTTAACAAAACATTACGTATTTTTTCATTTTCACGTAAAAGACCATCTTCTTGCATAGAAACCAAATCCATAATCATGTGCACTAACTGACCATGACTAAGACCTCTCAAACCATTTAGTAAATTGCCACTAAAATACCTTTGTGAATGATTACTATCCAATGAACTTTGTAACTTTTTTTTCTTCTCTGGTGTTGTAAATTGTAACTCATTATTATCACCAAGAGAGAGCCTTTTTCTAGGCGTACTTCTCAATACCATACTTGATTTTGATGGACTTTTCACTGGAGTGCGATCTTTAGAACTTAAACTACAATAAATTCACTGTATACTTCTGTATAACAATCTTAAAAAAAGAATAACTGAAATGACATTTTTTACCTAAAGAGACTATTTCTTTTACAAGTATCAACATCAGGAGACCAAACTATGGTGCTACGACGACGTCCCCGTTTTTGGATAACCAATTCATCAGGACTAGGTGCAGGGCTCCAAGAGTCAGAGCCATGACGACTATTTAAAAAATTATCCATTGCATTAACTTCAGTAGAAATTGCCTCTCCTAGAACACATGAATTGATACTAAAAACGAGTAATCAAGAGGTAGTCGATGAAAAATGTCAGGAACGTACCAGGCGAAGCAGAATTGTTGACAGGAATCACTGCTAAAGCTTGACGAGAAAATCTCCTACGCGTTCCATCTGGTCTTCGTAAAAAATCTCTGGTTGTTGGAGTATTCATTTCTCTCAGTATAACGAAGAATTCTTCATTCAAACACAAGAGTAATTTATGTTATTATCAAGAAATGATTAATGAAATATGGTACATGAAGTGTCAACACTATTCTGTGTCAGAAACATGATATTTTACTTCCTCACATGTTTTATTGAGAACGAAATGAAATTACTATCTGCAAATTTATACAAAATATATATAAAATCAAAAAGAACACCAAAATTACGGAAAAAACGATCACGGTGATGCGTCAAACATAGCTGTAATAAACAGGACAGGAAAATGGCGGGAATGAATCTGATTGGTTTATTCTGATGTAGCGGAATATTAAATTTTATTATCCTACTTAAATGAAATTGTTTAATATTTACATGTTATGTATTTTTAACAATTATTTTTTCATCATTTGTAAGATTTTTTAATCTTATAGACATTTCTTCGTGTATTTGTATTTGTTTTCTAGTATAATTATCAATTATCAACCAAATTATCTTTAATTTTTAATAAAATTATTTTCCTTTATATATTAACAGTATACAATTACGACACAAAGAAAAAACACATTTTATCATTTGTAATAGAGTTAACGGTTAATCAGTAAAAAGGTACATTACAATACTTGATACTTTGTAAATAAGGTTATGTTAAGGGACGGTAATAAGCACATGGATAATTAAAGAAGAACGTCATTTCGTAAACGTAATTAATAATTTAAAACTCTACAAACTTTAAGGCACTTTACTTAAAAGTTTTACGATCGTAAATATTATAATATTAAATATTTTTCTGCTATAAATCGTTACAAACAATAGTAAAGTAAGTATAAAATATAAATATTTAAGATAAATAATATTTCTGTATTTTTCAATGCGTAAACTGCAAAAATATCTATAATTTTTACATAAAGAATGAAAACTAATTCATCATTTTTTATACAGCATGAGTGACTTATTAAATGATAAACGATTTGCTCACATTGCAAGGGACCCTAAATTTAAAAGAATCCCAAAAGCAGAGAGAAAAGTAAAAATAGATAAAAGATTTAAAAGTATGTTTAATGATAAAAAATTTACAGTTCAATATACTATAGATAAACGAGGTAGACCTGTAAATCAAACATCATCCGAAAATCTTAGGAAATATTATGATTTATCTAGTAGTGAAGATGAAGATGAGAAAGAACATGAAAGACCTAAACAACAAAAGAAAAATGAATCTAAAGATTATAAGAAGAAAGAAAATAAAGTTAATACAGTTTCTAAGTTAAATGAAAATTGTCCTGAAGTTAATGTAAATAAAAATGAAGATACTAATTCATCGGATAATAATTGTTTCTCAAGTAATGGAGAATTACTTAGAATTAAACCGAAAGAAGAATGTGATATAGATTCTGAGGAACAGAGTAATCTTGAATCTGATTCTGCATCTGATATAGATTATACAACATTAAACAATTTGAAAGCAGATTTAAAAGAAAGTAAAAAGCAATTGAATATTAGAAATAAATATGAATCTGAGAAGTTTTCTGATAAAGTTAAAAAAAAATTAAAAGATTTAAGTATAAATTATGCCAGAGGTGAAGGAGTTTTGATCACAGACAGTTCTTCTGATGAAGAAAGTTCTGAGGCTTCTGGTAATACATAATTAAGCAAATATGAATAAATAAGTAAATAATTTTATACAAAATTTAATAAAACTTCATATTAAAATTAGATGAAGAAGAGGTTGAACATAATTGGGGTGAATTAGACAAAGAGGCTGAAACAACAAATGAAATTACACATAGATTAGCAGTTTGTAACATGGACTGGGATAGATTACGTGCTGAAGATTTAATGGTTTTATTTAATTCATTCTTACCACTTGGTGGTTTTATTCATTCAGTTACTGTAAGCACAATTAACAAACAAGTAAAATAAGTATTTCCTGTTTAATTTTTATAGTAACACAATTTTAGATTTATCCATCAGAATTTGGTTTGCAACGTATGAAAGAGGAAGAGATTAAAGGTCCAAAGGAATTAACAGAAATTAAAGAAGAGGAAGAAATTGAAGATAAAAGTGATGTATGAATATTTTTTTGGAAATCCAAATAAAAGTATATAGCTTTAGAGTTTAATTTTACAGAACGAAGAGGGGTCTTCATATCACATGGAAAAATTAAGACAGTATCAATTAAATAGATTAAAATATTATTATGCTGTTGTTGATTTTGATTCTGCTGAAACAGCAAATAAAATTTACATAGAATGTGATGGTACAGAATATGAATCTACAGCAACAAAATTAGATCTTAGATTTATACCGGATGATATGGAATTTGATCAGGTATGCTGTTTAGTCTTTGTGCATATAAAATATATTCACTATATATGACCTTAAATGACTACTTTAAGACTCCAAAAGAGATATGCAGTAAACTACCAGAGCTTACAAAGTATAAACCAAGGCAATTCACAACCACTGCTTTACAACAAGTTAAAGTGCAGTTAACTTGGGATGAGACAAACCCTGAAAGAATGGAAATTGCAGAAAAACTGAATTCTGGGAAATTAAATGAAATTAATGAAAATGATTTACAAGCTTACTTAGCAATTAATTCAAGTGATGATGAATCAGGTAATATATATTTTCTAGTCTTTAGTATTTTATATTTTTAATATTTTATTAACATTTTCTTAATAGTAAAAGAAACAGAGCAACAACAGGAACAGGAACTGCAGGAAGATAAAAATGATTTGGAAAAGAAAGAACATACCGATCCAGTTGAAAAGTATAAAGCTCTGTTGAAAGAAATAGAAGAAAAAGAAGAATCAAAACAAAAGAAGGATGTTGAATTAGAATTTACTTGGGGTTTAGGCACAAAAGAAAAAGCTGAAAAATTAGTACAAGAAAGATTAAAGAAAGATCAAAATCTTACGCCATTTGAACAATACTTAGAAAAACGGAAAGAGAAAAAGAAAGCTAAACGAGAGGAGCGAAAAAAACATAAAGATACAGTTAATTCTGATGACTCAGATATACTTGATTCAGATAAAAATGCAAATAATAGAACATCTCATAAAAAGATAAACATTGCAGAAAATAATAATCTTGCTTCATCAAGCGATGACGATGAAGAACGACGTAAAGCTGAATTAGAACTTTTGTTAATGGATGAAAATCAAGATGGTAAACAGCATTTCAATATGAAAAAGATAGAGGAATATGCTACAATGACAAAATCTAAACAAAGACGAATAAATAAAAAGAAAAATGCGCAAGAACGAATAGAGGAGGATAACTTTGAAGTAAATGTACAAGATTCAAGATTTAATGCGTTATTCACATCGCATCATTTTAATATTGATCCAGCGGATCCACATTATAGGAAAACTAAAGGTACTGAAGCTTTAATTAAAGAAAAATTGAAAAGAAGAGCTGATAACGAACTTAATGAAGTAAGTAAAATTTATTCATGTGTACCTAAACTTAAAAGTGTATCACATAAACTTGTTTTTTCTCCTTTTTTCTTTTTAACATTTTAGGAAATACCTGCTAAAGAATCCAAAATGAAATCTAATGCAGAATTACAGAAATTAATTAAATCAGTGAAGAAAAATACTAAAAATATTACTAAACCAATAAAATAATTTTTGTATTAAATAAAAAATTGTTCTTTAATATTCCGCGTGTTTTTAATATTTTACGTATTTGTAATTACATACACGTTGAATTTTACAAATTCTAGCGTATATTTTTTGCATTTTATTCAAGCCATTTATATTTTATGTGTAACTATTTACTATTTTAAAAAATTCTGTTTTTTATGTAAATTAGTTATGATACTGTAAAATATTAAAGGTACAAAAGTCAATGACCTTAATACGAGTTTAATTTTCTAACCTTCTCAAAATAACATTCATAGGGGATGGCAACACTGAAATCTCTTCGTAACCAAATACATCGATGTACGAAGGGAACTCGCGGTAAAGAAAGTGGGGGGGCATCATCTAAGCATCTGGACGTTTAAGCGTCGCTTTGAGGAATGTTAAGTTAGCAGAAATGTATTTCAAAAACAACGGACAGTTCCCGAAGTTATAGGTTAGGTTAAGTGAGAATAGCATCTGTTATAAGACGATAGCGTTTTCGGTAGTAGTTCGCGCGCTCAATTTGTGAAAATCGATACAAGGCTGCTCTGGAGGGAAATTTTGGTTATGTATGCGAACCAAAGTGAAAACAAATAAACCTAAATGTCGCGATACATAAAAACTACTTGGTACAATGATACTGTGCCAACGAGTCAAAAACAGAAATCAAAAAATTGCAAAGAATAAAATTTCCACTGCGTCGAATATCAAAACAATGTCTGAAAGTCCTAAGATGGGCCTATTTGGCTCCAAAGACGAAACGAAGGAAACAAAGAAAGAAACCAAGGACAACTCACCTGACCGTTATGCCCCTTATTGTATTGACAGTGATTCAGAAACTTATGATACAGAAGCTTTAAGCATCATGGATATTAATGATATCATTGGTGTTCAGTCAGAACCTGTTAGTGATTCTACTTTAGAGAGTGAAATTGCTGCACTTTCTCAGATGATTACAGAATCAAAGACAGATGCAAGTCAGAATACAACAGAAAAAAAGCTTGAAATGCAAGAGAGAACTGTAACCAAGAATGAAGAAGCTCCTATAGTTGAGAAAAATGATACAATTCACAGATTTGATACAAATGAACATATAAAATCCACCTTAAAGGAATTAGAGAATGTTTGTTGTGTTAAAGGAATAAGTGATAACATGGAACAATCAAGCAAAGATAACTTTCAGTTTAGTAGTGAAAATAGCTTGCAAAAAAATGTGCAATTGTGTGAACAAAAAACGGACAGTGACATTAAGGACAATCATGAATCTAATGTATTAACAGATTCTGTAGATATCGTTAGTACTAAAGATATTAAAAATTCTAATACCATAAATAAAGTGACTGTTGAACTTGTTGACTCTATAAGTGGTTCTATTTCAGTGACATCAGAAATTATGAAAAGCGACGAAAATGTAAATAGGTCTAATATAAGTGAACAACAGAGTAGTCATAGTGAAATATTAACTGTGAATAGCAAAGTGACTATTATAGAAAATGAAAACAGTATTCGTGGAAGTTTACAACTAATTGGTGAAGCATATAGTTCAGAGGACTCTCAGGATGGAATTACAAATGACGAAGAACCAAACATAACAAGTTCAACAACTAGTTCTAATGAAAAGTGCTTAATTCCTTGTGAAGAAATTAAAGACATAAATGAAGTTTGTGAGATACAGAAGGATGTAAATAATATCTCTGAAGAAATTGATAATATACATTTGGATAAAGCTTGTACAAATGAGAATACTATTGCCAAGACTATAGAAAATGAAAAATTGTGTAGTAGTGAAATTGAATCATCTAATTGTCCTACAAAATCTACATATACAGAAGAATTACCTACAATTTCAGAAGATACAAAAGATATTGTTCCTAATGAATATAAAGTAGATAATCTCAGTAACATTGATTTACAATGTGAAAAAGAAAATATTAATACAACTACCACTGATATAAATAACATTAAAGAAGAAATAGAAGAAAAGAAAATTGACATTCAAATAGTAGAAGAAACTATAATGATGGAACATTCTGAAAGTGAAGTAGGAAAAAACAATGTCGAATCTGTGGCTGATGTTTGTGCTACAGAAGAAGTACAGTCGGAAACCAAGGTTAAGGATGAAAATGTAGTAATGGAAAGTAATCAAGAAACTACAGAACATATAGGTGTAGAAGAAGAAAGACAAGATAAAGGTAAAGAATGTACAGATGAAGAAAAAGAAAGAAATCAAGAAAATGTAGAACATGTAAATAATTCAGACATCGAAAATAACTTCATCAATAATGATCAAGTGTCAAATGTAGAATCAAATGATGAAGTGAACATTGATAATGGTACTGAAGTTATTGAGGAAGAAATTGAGTTAAATGTAAAACCTGTACAATCAAAAGTTAAATCAGAAGATATAAATAATTCTGTTATTATTATTAAATTAAAAGAAATTGATTCACCACATGAAACAAATAATTCAGAATTACCAAAAAGTAAAGTCGATGAAGTAGAATTGTCAGAACTGAAAGAAAACATGGAAATTGAAAAATTAGAAGTAATAGAAACAGAATTACAAGGTTCTTTGGAACTACTTACAAATCAAGTATTCCCTCAAACAACTGACCAAACTAATGTAATTTTTAATGAAAATTCTATGCTTTCAGAGCCAAGTAGCTCAGAATTGCCTTTAAACAGTGATGATGTAATTGATAATATTACAAATATTGCTGATAGTACAGAAACTAATATAGAGATAGAGAACGAAGAGAACAAAGAGATGAAAATAAAAAGTAATTTAAAGTCTATGTCATCTGAAGAAATCAACACTGAATTAAAAGAAGATATTGTTGAATCAATAGATGAAACAGAATTACCTACTATTCAAGAGAAAACAGAAAATGAGTTAGAAACAAATATACCAGAAACTTGTGATACAGTTGATAAATATGAAGTTTCAATGGAAGTAGACTTGAATGTGAATTCTGCAACTTCTATATTAGAAACAACTGAAAACGAAATTAATGAAGCTGAAAATAGTTCTAATGAAAAAATAGATCAATTATTGAAAGAGGATACTGATAAAATAGCACAAGAAATGGGAATTAATTTAGAGGTAATAAAAGTTGAAGATCATATTTCTAAAGAAAAGGATCAAGAATCAAATAAAGTTGAACATACATTAATTGAAGAAGGTGAATCAGAAAGAATCATAGATATAGTTCATGATTTTTACGAGGTTACAAAATCAAAAAGTATACAAATTATTGAACTGCATGATAATATTGAGGTCGGAAAACAAACAGAAGTTGACAAACAGGTAGAAGAACATAATACAGAGGAAAAAGGAATAGAGGAAGAAAACATAATTAAAATACAAATAGAGGAAGAAAATACAGCTAAAAGACAAATAGAGGAAGAGAATATAGCTAAAAAACAAATAGAGGAAGATGATATAAATGAAAAACAAATAGAAGAAGATAAAAAAGAAGACTTTTCTCCTGAAATTGTTATAGAAGAAGAGCAATCCACCGAAATAAAAATTGAAATCAATGAATTACAAAAGCATGAAAATATATGTAATATTATTGAGGAAAACCACTCAGGAGAATCTGAAGGAATTGCAATACAAAAGGAAGTAGATGTAAAGGCAGAAGAAATTAATAATTACTCTAATGCACAAGAATCAGCTTCTGACTTAAAATTTATCAATAAGGATACACTTCCAACATTAGATCATACAGAGATGATAGTACCTGAAGAGGATGTAAAAGAGGAACACATGGAAGAAGAAATGAATTTAGCCCTAGAATTGGAAGAAACTGAATCACAGTCAGAAATAGTTAAAAATGATATTGAAGAGAAATCTGGCAAGGGGAAAGATGTAGAACTTCCTGAAGAAATTATGGCAGAATGTCAAGAAAATGTAATTATTGAAGTAAATGATAATATTGCAGTTTCAATAAATTTAGAAACATCAAGTGATAATGATATAAATATAGAAGGTGTTGCACAGTCAAATGATGCTGAACATTTGGAATTAAATAAGAATGAAGAGTTATCAGATAAGCAACAATTGGAAGATGATTCAAAAAGTGAAACCAATAAAGATAATTTAAAGGATATTTTAGAAACTGCCAATAATGTGGAAGAAATGTTTTCTGAAGAACAGTGCCAAAATACAGAGGATATTGTTACTAGTATCCTAGATGATGTAAGAACTGCAACTGATTTCAAGAATATTTTAAGTCCAGAAGCAGTTGTAGCAAATGAAATAGAAGAGGTTCTACAACAGTCTGTAAACTTACCATTGGTAGGATCTGAAATTGAAGAATTGACTGAAAAACTACCACAGGATTCAGAAGATATATTAAACAAGGATATGGAGGATTCAATCTCAACACAAAACATAGATACTCTAGAAGGATTGCTAGGTCTAGATTTAATTCCAGAGGGAGAAGATTCTACATTGAAAATAACAAAAGCTGAAGAGGAACTTCAGAAGCCAGAACAATTGTCAAAGGTTGTGAATATGAGACTTTTATTAGAACAATCAAATCACACATCCGATATGGCACAAGCTTCTGATTATATAACACATGTGATCAGTAGTTGTTTAACAGACAGGGATGGTGTATCATTGGAAGATACTACAGAAAAATCTAATATAATTGAAGTTGATGATGACAAAGGTAAAGAATCTGAGGCTGGTGATCTATTGAAAATCGATGAAAGTCTAATTTCTGAGTCTATGGATAAAGATGATAATGTTGAAGATTTACAGAAAGATTTGGGAGAGGGTACTGATATTCCAGGTAATGAATTAGACATGGATTTTGAGGAAGCTCCACTAGAATCCGTAGGTGATCTCGAAGAAACAGAATCTAAACTTGAATTGCCTTCGGACATTTTATTACATAATGTAGATCAGGGCGAAAATTTGAACGATGCTCCATCGGGTATAGAAACATCTCAACCGAGCTCTGAAATATCCGAGCTTGAATCGGCAGTAAAATTTTTACAAGAATCCGAAGAACAAGCTATGGATTCCCCTTTGGTGTTGTCTCCTAAGATGGTAGAAAGCGTCGTAGATGACATATCGAAACAAGCAGACGCATCGTCTTTATTTGTACCTGATGAAGACATGTGTGAGAATACTGTGGAATTAGAAGCAGAATTACAAAATATTGCGACAGATTCGATTTCCATTTCTGAAGCAGAAATCATCTCAGAAGCTGCGAAACTGGAAAGTGAAAGAAAACTTGCAGAGCAAATTAAAATTGATGCTTTACAGGATGCATTTGGAATAGACGATGATAAAGAGATGATAAACCAAGACATGATTGAAGACAAGATCATAATTCCAACATGTTTGAGTTCTGAACCTAAATTTGATGTAACAACTTTGGAAAACATTGAAGTACAACAGTCATCAAACCTAGAAAATAAAAAAGTACTTGAAACAGTGGTAACTTTACCTCAAAATATTTTGAAGACATCCGAATCTATTCCAAAAGTTTCAATTTTAGAAGAACGTCTAAAGGAACCGCCAAAAATAGAAATTCCAGCTACGGATGTAACGAAAGTTTCAATGTCTCCAACTACTTCCAAAGATAGTCTTTTGATTCAAAAAGATGCAAAATTAATTGCCTATCAGAAGATGTTAGAGTCACCAAAATTGTTCGATAAATCGGAGTCGAAGTTTGTGGAAACACCTCGAAAGGATTCTGAAAAACATGATTTCGAAAATGTTGGATCTCCAAGAATCATATTAAAAATAGCAAAATCTGCAATAACTGATTGTGGAGAACCAAGGTCTCCTAAAAGTCCAAAAATTAGATCTGCAACCAATTCGCCAAACCCCGAAGATAGTCCGGGTCAAAAATTAGGAAAAATAAAATTGAAGTTATCTAAAGGAGGTCATCCTTCTATAATATCTAATGAGAATGTCGAAGAACTTGGACAATGGTACTCAGAAGGCTCATCATCATTGTCTCCTATTGGCATGAAAATTAAATTATCTAAATCTGGAGATGCATCCATAGTTACCACTGAAAAACACGAATTGATTGATGATTCTAAGGAAGGTAAGCACAAGTTCGAGGAAACTAAGCGGACAGAATCACCGATTGGAATGAAGATTAAGTTATCAAAGAGCGGCGATGCGTCTATAGTGCAACAAGATGCAAAAGAGATCCAGATGAAGCATAAAGAGAAGTTAGACATGGTTCAAGGAAGTCCAAAGAGAACGGAATCTCCGATTGGAATGAAGATTAAACTTTCAAAAACTGGAGACGCTTCGATCATACAACCAGAGAGACAAGAATTTTCTGAAGAATACAAGGACAATATACAAATGAAACCAAAAGAAAAGCTCGAATCATGTTATGACTCTCCTAAGAGAACTGATTCTCCTATAGGAATGAAAATTAAATTATCTAAAAGCGGAGATGCTTCGATCGTTTCGCCTGATTTGCCAGAAGAAAATAAAGAGATGGCTAAAACAAGAGATAAATTAGAATCGCCTCCAGAAATTCCGAAGAGAACCGAATCTCCGATTGGAATGAAGATTAAATTAGCAAAAACAAAAGGTGGTGGAGCTTCTATAATATCAGTAGAAAATTCTGAAGAGTCGAAAGATAAGTTAGAAATTCCAGATATTCCCAAACGAACTGAATCACCTCTTGGAATGAAGATAAAATTATCCAAAAGTGGTGACGCGTCCATTGTTCATTCAGAGTTGTTGGATGAAATTAAAGATAATGTGGATATAGCTCTGGATGCGACAAAATCGTTGGAAGTACCGCATAGTGATATTGTACAAGAAACTATGGAACCATCAATGGAGGTCATACATGAAGTTTTGCCAAAAGTTGAATCACCCATTGGAATGAAGATCAAGCTTTCTAAGTCCGGTGATGCATCCATAGTTTCTTCAGAAAAGCAAGAACAGTTAGAAGAAAGCAAACTTCTTCAGGAAATTCCCAAGAGAACAGAATCGCCTCTTGGAATGAAGATTAAACTATCTAAAACTGGTGACGCTTCTATTATACAACCCGATATATCCGAAGATACAAATAAGATAATACGAACATCTGAGGCAGAACATTCTAAAAACACTGATGCTTCTTTAGGTATGAAGATAAAGCTGTTAAAAACCGGGGATGCTTCTATAGTGGATTCAGAAAAGAAGGATAGACAGCAGAGACGTCGAGATACCGAGTCATCTCTAGAGATGAAGATTAAATTGTCTAAAACGGGTCATCCGACAATTGTGGCTTGTGATAATCAAGCGGAAGTTGTATACAAGTCAAAAGAATCTACTGATTCGTCCCAAAATTTTGTACAAAGGTATAAAGAGACTGGACAAGCTGGTCATAAAGAACCTGCATTAAAGATCCTTAAAACTGGACATTCAACTATTCTGCAAAGTAATCGTTCAGAACTGACCATTGAGCCAGTGCAAATGCAAGGAAAGAAACTAGATAGTGTGGTTGAAATGTCACCAAAGCGTAAAGATATTACCATTGCACCAATTGAATCTAAAAAATCCAAATTGGAAACTCAACTCACACAAATTTTGCCTGAGGTTACTATCCAGCCTGTGACATCCAGGGAACAAAAGCAGTTTCTATTTGACCCAAAAAACAGCGCAATTAGTCTACAACAGATGAATGTAATAAATCAAGAAATCAGTATTACCCAAGTAAGACCACAAAAATCGACTGATGCCTCTATGAACGAGAAATTGAAGGATATTTTATCGAAGAACGTGGCTGGTTCCCCAATGAATTCTGACTGTGAAATCATAGAACACCGACCAGAGTTGATAATAGTAAATGAGAACTCAAATTCTAGCCAGGATGTTGTGATAATAGAAGAAGTTTCCCCCAATAGAATGCCAGAAGTTAAAGTGCCCAAGAAAAGAGGTAGACCCAGAAGGAATCCATTACCACAAGGAATTACCCATCCTCCACCTCATTTGTTAATACCTAGGGATCCTTTGTCTTTAGACGACGCGCAACAGATGCAACAGCCACAAATACCCCATTTTCCAGAATCCAGAGAGAATGAAAGACCTAAGAGGACCTGTAGGAGTCAAAAAAGTTATGCACCCCCTAAAAGAGGCAGAGGACGAGGTTTGTACTTTTTAAGCATTTTATGTACAAATATTTAAATATTATGCAACATACAATTCTTAATCATATGTATTTGCTATTTTTCTCTTTTTTTTCCCCACTCCTTTTTTTATCTATTAGGACGAGGAAAACGAAAACTGGACAGTGTAGATCCCCAGATTATGAAAAAGCCTAGGATAGATCAAGATTTAAGCGCTATTGAAGCTTCTACAACTGCTGTGATAACAATAGATGATTCTGGAGTGCAACAAGAATCCTTTGGAAAATCACCAGAATTATACAAAGCACTTAAACAGCCAGCAATGGATTCTAAGATGGCTAATTCTTCGGGTAAAGTCGATAAGAAGATTATGAGACAAAAGAATAGTGGAATAAGAAGTGCAAATGTAGTTAATAACACACTTCCAGACTCCATGGGTATACAACCGGATATGAACAAAGGATCAGAGATGCGATTACCCAAACCAGTATCAAATGACGTTAAAGATAGTATTAGGGATAAAAAGTTGGCTGAAATCGTTCCTGATCGAATGCAAAAAGCCGCAACGAAAGTAGATTCCGATAACAGATCTGATAAATCAATGGAAAATGTAAAATCGGAAAATAAGGATATGTTAATACCACCTAACTGGTTGACACCAGCATCTAAAAGAGTAGATAATACTACAAAGCATGAAAATATGTCTACAGTTCAAGTGATAGACGAGGAAACGAGAATGAGTGCGGAATCGGGTTCAAGATCTCAAACTCCAGCTAGAAATATTTCTGCACCAGGTATGGCCTCTGTACTCTTTATAAATTACATCATTTATATATCTTATTAATTTTATAAATAATGCAATAATAATTACATTATATTTAATTTTATTTTTAACTTAGATTAATTATTATAAGTTTACAACATAGATCAAAAACAGTGATAACACTATTAGTTTTAGTAACTATAGATTAATTATACATTCAATATTAAATATAGTTCTGATTATATTTTCAAAAGTAATAACTTACTAAACTAAAAAAAAACATGCTGACTGATACTAATGAGAAATATATGAACCATAGACATCATATGACTAAACTAAATTAAAAGATAAATGTATTGGTAGACCTCCAAGCAAGGTATCTATAAATAGATCTTTTCTTGTGTCCTAACATCTCTCAAGTACCTAAATGTGAAATAGATGTATTTAAATCAAGCACAAAATATACTGTTACTACAAATCATAATGTATGTTAACATGTACAGAATTTCAAAGCCATGATGGTCAGTGTTTTTTCAGTCAATTATGTATATATTTTTTCAATGATTTTATCTTGGACAGTATAATAACATTGATATTCAGTGTTAATCCTAACTGTGAACAATTTAACATTTCTTTTTAACTTGCTTTCTATTTTAGTTTAGACATAATTATTTTATGAACATTTTTTTTTAACATATTTGTTATGTTATGATATAAATTGCAAAATATTATAATGCAGTAGTTGGTTATGTCTTTAAATGCAACAAACTATATGTTAATATCAATTATCACAGCTTCTGAAACCATAGTAAATGAAGAATCTCAAGGAAGTGTACTTAGTACTGCAACCACAGAATCGGAAAAGGTGAAGGTCAAGAATCGAAGAATGGAAATTAATTTTGATCCAGACGAAGGACCATTTACTGTCGATAAAATTGCTGAGTATGAATGGCCACTTGACCGTAAAGGTGAAACATTTATGATACAAGAACAAATATCTCAATATCTTGGTGTAAAATCATTCAAAAGAAAATACCCAGATCTAAAGAGAAGAGTAGTGGATATGGAAGAAAGAAATTATTTAAGAGAAAATGGATTGGTTAGTGAAGCAATGTGTGACATGGGTAAGTTACTCACTACACGTAGATTGTTGTATCTATTCACTATTGTACTTACTTTTTAATTTTATCTTAGGTTTAACTGCTGTATGTAGTTCAGAAGTATTAGATGTAATGTGTAGTGATTTCCCAGATCAGTATGAAGAATATCGCAAACATATGCGCGAGAAGCAAGTAAAAGAACATTCCAAAAAGCAGAAGGAACTAACAGCAGCTGCAAATGCAGAAAAAAATAGAATTGATCTAGCAGAAATGGCAGTCCAATCTGCATTGTCTTGGAATATTAGCTTAAATAAAGCTCGACGGGAAAATAGGAAGTGCAGTCTAGACTTGCAAACTTTTACAATACACGTGCCAAAGAAACAACAGAAAGTTGAAACGGAACGACGAATTGGTCATTATCCTGTTGCACTAATACCGGGACAATATACAGATTATTATCGGGAATATACACCAGCCGAGTTACGATATTATCCTTTAAATACAGTTCTCTATGGTCCTATGAGACCAAATGAACGTAAATTTGATAGTCAGTCAGAGGGATCTCAAAGTGATAGTGATAGTGATTCATCTTCAGATGACTCAAGGTTCGTGCCATCATATTAAACTGTTAACATTTTAATAATCCTTGTGAAAGGATAGTTGTTTATTTTTTATGTAGTTCGTCTTCTAGCGAGGGAACGCAAGATACTGAAGGTTCTCAGTCCACAATGGACGAAGTAGATATGGAAATAGCAAATCAAAAAGATGAAATAAAATTGAAATGCAAAATGTGCTTAAAAACTTTGAATAAACACAGTAAAAATGAAGTATTGATTCAGTGTGGCACATGTAATGGACATGGTAATTATTTTTACATTATATTTTTCCAACATATTTTTTATTGCTTCACAAAACAAATTGTAATATTTTTATTATAGTTCATCCATCATGTATAGATTTAACATTAGACATGGTTCCTCATATTCAATCATATGCATGGCAATGCACAGATTGTAAAACTTGCGCTCAATGTCATGATCCTGCCGACGAAGATAAAATGCTTTTTTGTGATATGTGCGATAGGGGGTATGTTTAATTTTTTTTTTATAAAAAAAATACATGAAATACATAAATAATATACGATTATATAATATTTGATACTACTAGGTATCATATTTATTGTGTCGGTCTCCGACGAGTCCCTCAAGGAAGATGGCACTGTCAAGAATGTGCTGTTTGTGCAAATTGTGGCTCAAGAGAACCTGGTGGTATAAATTCTGATAGAAATAGTGTTGCTCAGTGGCAACATGAATATAAAAAGGGTGACAAGAATACTCGTGTTTATGTTTCAACGCTGTGCGTTCCATGCTCAAAGTAAGTAATACTAATCCCTTTTCCTTTTTTCCTTGTGGTGTAATGTACGAGTGAAGATGTAATTCAGAATACACATACTAAATGCTAGTTTTCAAATTTTCACGGGGCTTCGTTACTGCTTCACGATTTCCTTAATTCACACTAAACTCCTTTTTTTTTAATAGAAATTTTCAAACTAATATTTCGTGTTCACAATATGATGATATTTGAATCCTTGGATTTCAAAAATTGAATAAAATATATAATTAACTTGGAATTGATTACATTCTTGAATATTATTAACATTTATTTCTGTATTTAAGTTAACTGTGCATGTTTAAGATATAAAAAATCATCCAAGGTGCAGACTGTCATCAGTTATACTAAATTCTGGTATTTCAATGAGCCCTTATCCAAGTTCACTAACCCCATAATCTTTATGCAATAACAAGGCTATGGCGAAAGGGTCGCTATTGCCCGCACTGCAGTCGCTGTCATACTGCCCCAAGACTCGACCTGGAAGTGAATCTAGTGCATTGCAGCGCATGTGACAAATATCTGCACTTAGGTATTGACACAAATTCCATATAATTCCGCTATATACTCTTCATTGCATGCCATTGCATTTGCATGTTTCATCAAATATTTTCGTCTTTAAAAGCAATTTGACGATTTGAAATATGTATGAAAGGTTTCAGGTACAGTAAAATTATTACAAATGAAAAATTAGTTGATTATTTTAAAGGTATCAGTGTAATGTATAATAATCGTTATTATTAATATTATTATTTATTTACAGGTTGCGTGGAGACCAAGGGAATGCCGTTAGACAGGAAAAATTACCTGTGTGATTTTTGTGCACCAAATCGTCAACAAATGATGAAACCATTAGTATCGAAAACATTGAAAACGTAAATAAATAAAAAATATATAATTTTGTTTGAGCTCGAGAATTGTACAAATTGTGAATCGCGTGTGTAGAGAAACTGGTAAAATATAAAATTTTTATTTGTATGGATAATGGATGAATTGTGAACATTTAAGTGATTCATTTATCATGAAACATTTCGTACGAATTTCTGAATGAAAGAAATACTGTTGTACATAAATGTATGATTATAATCAATTTGAAAAATTGACATTTTGTTACAAACCAGTGGCTATAATTAGCTACATATAAAGCTTAAAATATAAAAAATCTCATTTTAAATGTTAATGTTCAGTAAAAATTTTAAAGATTCCAATTTTCTTTATAATTTTTATCCTCTTATTTTAAATATGGGCTGTCCTTTATTAATATACCGTTGTAAGATGAAACAAAGTTAACTCTCTTTTTTTAAACAAATTGTGTTCATAATTTATCTTCTTTTTTATTGCTTATTATAGATCAAATTACATATCATGAAAAGAAAGTAATTATTGGAAGACTGTTTTACAGATTTATATAAATTCTATAATAATTTTTAACATTTTTTTTCAAATGTACATAAGGTGCTGATTTTTTAAATATTTACCTTTGTTATATGCATAAACGTAAATTTAATAATAATTTTCAGAATTAATTTTAATTTACAAAAAGGTTAATAATTCTATAATTTATTAGTTTTAGATTTAAAAAAAAAAAGTGAGAATTAATACACATGTATGTTTAAGGTAAAAAGGGAATATAATAAAATATGAAACAAAATAGCAATTTCTTAAAAATATATATCACTTTCTTTATTTTTCTTTGCAATATAATCCTCGGAATAGTATTTTGTTGCGAGAGTTGTATGCCTTGCAAATATCTTTTTTACATATTTATAGTAACGCAGTATCCACGTAATGAACAATTTGCTTTGTGTTCCTCGTATCAGAAATTTATCTTCCTTTAACATTCACACGTAATTGATAACCAATTGCCATTTTCAAAACTAATTACATTTTATAATACATTGAAAAAATTTTAGGTTATTTAGTAATATGTACAACAAAACAGAACGACAGTATTAAAATCAATTAAACAATGACCAAATTGTAAAATACAAACTTTGGCATATCGTTGCATGAATATTACTCTGTCAAAAATATTCTAATATATAGCATATCACTTTTGTACAAGACGTATCTCTAAAGCATTAGATCAATTATGCAGAAACTACCGAGGATTTACACAATACCTTTTTGCGAAGTAGATTTTATATATCTTTTTGCAAAGCTACATATCTGCCATTACAATATAAAGTTCAAATGATAGCGGAACATCGGCAGCATTTCAAAAGTGAAAGAAGACAATTGTTTAGAAGTGCGTGTTTTAAATTTCCGCGTATCGTTTCTTTTTTTGTTTTAATTTTTCAACTAAAATTAAAAAGGATATAAACTAGATTTTTTTTTCACACTTGTGAAAATGTACAGTTTTCCCTAATACGTCTGATATTTTTTTTATATTCAGTTTACTTTGAGCGCTACTATAAAAATGGCTGTGCACGCTTTCAAATTCTTTCATAAAATCACACACTTAACACTCCGCACGTATCGTGAAATTGTGAAAAATAAAAAATAACTTGAGCAAAAAACGAGGCATAGCATACAGCACACGTTATGAAGTGACATAACGTAGCATTATGTAGAACACTTATACTAACGAGACAGAATGATTTAAAATCATTAACATCTCGTTGACTAGCCGAATATAAATACACTATTGACAGATGTCAAGTGAATTCTGAGCAAACCCAACAAGCAATCAGTAGAAAAGGTGAAAAATAATGTTTATATTCGAGCACTGATACTGCTAAGTAATTATCCTTTAGAATATGTAAAGTTTTACAACCGTGGTCGAGTTTCCACATAGCCGTTCATCATTTCTATATTCGTACTAAAATCGATTTGTTCTTCGTTCGTATCCATTGGTTGAAATAATTTAAACGGCAAATAAAATCTTTGTAATCATTTTACGACACAATAATGATTTGTAAATAATTGACAACGTAAAAATTATTGTTAGGCTTTACTCGTGTCTAATACCACATATAGATAAAAAGGTACTGAAATTATGTAAGTGCGTTGCCGGTATAATAGTAGTAACTAAATTTCGTGTAGAAAATTTAGAAAGAACGTCTTGAACAAAATTCGGTCCTGGCGAACTGCCGACTTTGTAGAAGATACGTAGATTGCATGTAGGATTTAGGGTTTGGGATCCCTTTGTGAGTTTACACAGTACATACTCGAATGCTTCTGTTAGTTCATCTACAGTTAATTCTGTAGAAGATAAACTCGTTTCCATGGCTAAGTTACCAGTTGAATTGGACGAACCTAATCAAGATAGAATCCTTTTTATTTGTTCACAAAAAGGTGTAAAAATATTCAGACAAAAAGTATGTACCAGTGGACATGTAACACACAATTGCTGAAACGTTATTTTCATAATTCCATCTACGCCTTATTGCCACTTTGAAATTACTTACACATTTACCAGTCTCTTCATCTGTAATAAAATAATCTTTAAAAAAATTGTTCAATAAAATTTAATCTTTTTTATACTTACATTCAAACCTATTATTATCTCTATGTGCCCAAACACACCATTCAACCTGAGCACCACGTGGAAGATTCGGTACAACGATGTAATCCACAATAGCATTATTTGTTCGTTTCTCCCATTCCTTTCGTGCGTCCGGTATATAACTAGTATGAGTCAAAAAACAAATACCTTGCACAATATCCCTGAGTTGCGTATTTGAGTCCATAGCTTTAACAATACGATCTATGTGCCTCAATGTTAAACGACATTGCCTTTTAATATTTAAGTCCAGAATAGTCATACTACCAGGCACCAATGGTATTTGTCCAGCTACTGAGATAATATCACCCACCTAACACAAATAATTACAATTCGATTATAACTTTTAATTTATTAAATCCCTTTAAAAATTATTTAATCTGCTATATAATTTGCTATTTAATCTATATATCCATTGTGAAAAGCGATATGATTATTATTTTCACATGTACAGTGATTAAAATAGATTAAAAATTAATACTAATTATCGCTTAAATATTTTTTTTATGTTACTGTATGCTTAATTTTTTATTTTCATTCTAGAAAATTTTATTTTGTTTACCTCACTGTTGTGTTTCTTTTGTAAACCAGATGTGTGTGCGTGCGCGTACGAATGCGCACATACACACATTTTGTCTACATATACACACAGAGACGCGCACGCAAATTGGTTTGTAACGGTAGTACACTCACACGAACAGCTTGAGAATAAGGACCAATGTTTGCAGGTGCCCAATGACTTATGCTCTGAACATGCATTGTATGTCGTTTGTGAACTTTCTTATCACCACAGTCTTGAATTTCTTTATAGGCTATAGCATCAAGCACAACATGTATATTTAACGGACATTCCACACATACACGGACTGGTGGATTCGTTTTGTTGAAACATGAGATATAAACCTCGTTTATAGATATGTAATTTGACATATCTTTTATATACAACGTTACCGCAACAATGTCCGATATTTGAAGATTTTCCTTTTTGACTAGACCTAAACAGTCAATACGAGTGTTTTATCAATCTACGTCAAATATGAGATACGATATTACACGAAAAAAAAAGTAACTAAAAGGTGGTTTAAAAGACTCAAAGTTTACCTACTGCTTAATTTCTCCAACGCTTCACGCATCGCGGATTTAGCATCCGGATGTTTTCCAGCAATACCACCAAACCAGAACCAGCCAGTTTGATTTCTATTTACTACTGGCACATCAGGATAATCTTCTTCCTCATATAAAATTTCCATAGGACTTGGTGGGTTAAATTGACCTGGATTATTTTTGCATTGAATTAATTTAGAATGTAACAAAGAAAATAATTTGATTGATTAGAATTAATACCAGAATTCGAAGTCTTTAGATTACTGCCTGTACAATCATGTTCGTCGTTTTCCATCTGGTCCAACTATTTCTGTGATGTAATCAGATGGGGTTTTAATAGGAACATTTTTTAATCTTTCTTGTAATGTTAATCCTTCTATACCATCCTAAAAAAAAGTTCCTCTCAATTATTGACAAGTTTATTTATAAAATTCTTAAAAATATGAAATATTTAAGCTCACATTTTTTTCTTGTACATGAATTTTTTTAAAGTTTAGATATCCGACGGGTGCTATATTATCATTTGAATGAACTACACTTTCATATTCATCTCTAAAATAAACAAATATATATGTGTATATATATATACATATATATATACATGTGGATGCATGAGCATATGTATATGTGTCTGTGCGTATATGCGTGTGCACACGCACGTGGATCTGTGTAAAGTGTACTTGCTTGATATTTGTATTAACAATAAATTTGACAACTTACATTACAATACTTTTTCTAAATAATGGACAATCTAATGTAAAGGTTTCATATTCTCCTCCTTCTCCACATATGTTAACTCCATATTTTTCTTTCTACAAATAAATATGTTGTTATTAATATAATATATATCTATTCCTTTATAATTTAAATAAATTTCTTTTGCATATAGTTTTTAAAGAGCTATTTATATTTGGAATATCTCCAATATAATATAAAATCAAAGGAAAATCTTTTGTATTCAATTAATCATTAAGACATTTTACTTACTATTTTGGCAAGATGAGATTGCATTTCAAAAAGTGATTTACCCAAGTGTCTTGGTTCAAGGCCTAAAGCTGCCACCTTAATTATAACTGCATTCACTGAACTTCCTATCATTTCCTTCAACAATTCATCCTGTTCTCTTCTCCAAAGATATGAGAGAGAAATAAGTCCTAAACGACTACATCTGAAAATAAACTTTTATTATTAGATATTTTTTTACCTTTATTAAGATTGAAAGTAATATTTATATTTTTTACTGTATAAATTTTAATTAGAATAAAATATTTCAGAATTTGCATTTAATAATTACACATTTTCCACACGAATTCGTTGATAATCACTCAAAATAGATCCTGATGAAACAGCTTCTATATTTTCTTTTTCCTATAAATTCAAAGAAATTAAAATAATTAAACCAATACAAGTATTCTATGTATATTTTGTATGTTACCTTCACTTTACTTAATAACCTAAAGAGATCTTCAACTTCATCATTTTCTGTTGGATAATAATATTTTTCTTGCATTTTTGATCTACCAAAGGTTGGTTCACGATATATTGGTAAGCCTATAGCTTCCGAAATATATTCAACACCTTTATATCCAACAGTTTGAAACATAAATGAATCTAGTTCATCTATAAATTATGTTTCATCAGTTACCTAATATTTATATAGATTGATATATTTTGTTATCTATTATTTACCCTTTCCAACAGGATATAAATTAGCTAGGGCCACAATATCATGACCTGCAGCTATACATTGCATCATATTAAAGCAAGAATCTTTACCACCACTGACTAGTGCAACAACTCTCATTGTGTTTAATTTATACTTAGAATCTCTCAAAAAAAATTATCAAGATCTTAGAGTATACTTAAATCTCAATAACTGTTTCAGATAATCATCTGTAATAAAACAATAATAGAATACAATGACAATAATAATCTTATCATACTGATAAATCACATATAAAAATCATTTTTTTGTGATAATAAATAAGATTACAGACTGTTTTTTTAGATATCGTACATATACCTATATGTATATGTAAATGTATACACTATATGATTATATTTATATCATGTACATAAATTTATTGAAATACAAGAAGATAGTTTAATGGCTCAAATATTTAGAAAGTATCATTTCTTTATTGCAACATTTACACTAGACCAATCAATAGGTACAGATTACTAAACATTTATATGAAGGATAAGGAAACATGTAAACTACAAACAACTTAATGATAGGAGCTTGTAGACATATTTAAGATTACATATGTATATATTGCCTATAAATATATGTTAAGCCAAAATTAAATTTACAAGGTACATACACACATGTGTTTCTTGAATGGTCTAATGTATAAATAATACAATTTAAGCATTATCATTTCTCAACAAATATTTTACAATACCCACAAAAATTCTCTTTTTTTCTTTTCCTAATTTTAACATATCTCAAAAAAAAAAATAAAGTATATACCACTTTTTAAAATAAAATTCCACAGGAAAGAATCACAAAAAGGACATCACATATTCAATTTAACTTATTAATATGTGTAACAATTGGCTAGTGAACAAAAATTAATCACTGTACTATTCTAAATAGTGAACGTCACATAATCCGAAAAAATCTCGATAGAACTTAAATTTTTCTTAAAAGAATTATAGTATTCGATAACGTGAAATACAAAATCTAACATTAATGAGATGTTAGAAAAAAAATCAACGATTATTAAGGAAAAAAAGAATACCTACGGAGAGATTTTTTGGTTATTGCCGATCTCGGTTAAACGAGAAATATTACGGAATGACGCCCAGCAACAAATTGCACAGGGTACGCGAACAATAATTTCGAACTTATGTACGCTAAAATAAACTCTAAATTCTCAACAAATGTAATATTTACATTAAATTGGCGACGAAAGTTCCTTACACGGCAAAGTCTATCAGAGACTGCGATTGCTTGATAGTGGCGCCTCTCGGTGATAGAACTTTCAACATAAACTGTAGAATTGAGGTTATGACTTATTTTAATTCTACGATTGTTTATAACATTCATTGAGCAAGTTTCTTTTTAATTTTATTTGCATTATAAACTACATTTGTTACTGTCATAAAATATCATACAAAGTTTTGCGAATTTATTATAAATGCCGATATTGCCTACGAGAAATTCTCAGGTATAAATCGGGTGACCATACCTCGTGACATCATCAATGTATAAAATATATCGATGTCTCGTTATTTCAATCTGCATCTATGCTATAATTTACCAATTGTGATATATCTTAAGCAAAATTATAATCATAACTTTTTTTTTATGTGTGCATATAGTATATATATTTATTTACAATCTTTTTATACTTTCAAGTATATCATAAATAAGTATACGATATACTACAAAAGTGAAAAATGTAACTTTGAGTACCAAATATGTATTAAGATAAAATTAGGTTGAAATAGTTTGGAAATTCATACTTTTCGAATTATGTAACTTCGTGACATTTGTTTATTAAGATCAGCGTCACTTGTTTAGGGTTTTAGTTGATATATTGTAACTATATAGCTATAGAAATAGATCATTGAAACAAATACATCTGTTTTTCTTTATGATACAATAAAATAATGATACTTATATATTTTATACAATATAAAAATATTTTAAAATCATTATCATTTATTTTATGAAAATAAACGGACTTCTCAAATAATTTAAGACATTAAAAATGTACCATACCAATATTTAATGTTAATGCAATAATTATTAAAAATCAAAGATTTTATTATTTTAATATATAATATTCGTTTAAATAAGTTATATATGTTCAATAAAAAATGTATTTATAATGATTATAAAGAAATTATCGTAAATATTAGTTTGTTAAAATACAATTAATTTCGAAATACATTGAAAATATACGTTGCCATCTTTACTTAGTAAATCGTTGACCAATCGGATCACTTTCAATAAGCAGCCATTTTACTTTCGCTACGGTCGCACGAAGCGCGAGTTAGATTCTACGGAGCACGGTGTAATCGCAAGCTATTGCTTGCATCGCAGGTTTCGTTGATTTTCCGTGCGAAAAAGTCTTTACTAGCGTAATAATTTGATATAACGTAAATCGAATAAAAGCTAGAGAATGGTTTTGGCAGAAAGAAACTCAGAAAATGTTAGAAATGGGCGCAGATCGAGAGGCCCCAGCCCCAATGGACAGACGGAATCCTCGAGCGAAGAAGACGGAGGTACCAATTTCATATTACACTTCAATTATTACTATAATTAATATGATGCTCTTAAGTACCATCTCAATCGATATATCATAAATATGCAGTAAGTCTAAGAATGTATTCTTCTTTAGAAGTTTGCACATTTTTATATTGATCGAAAGCGAAAATCCGTAAGGATCTTCAAACAGCGCGCCCCACTTTTCCTCTTTTTAAGCTTCTTATATTTTCAGCCAATTCCTATGAATATCCTTATAAAACAATTTTAATGTAACTTTTTCGATATTATGTAAAGTTTTATTTAAGTATTTCGCTATAATAATATATTATTTTTTTAAGTGAAGTAAATAGAGTATAATTGAGTCTTTTTGTATGTAATTGTTTATGAGGATAATTTATAAATATTGCTGAGTATATAATAATAAAATATAAATATAAAAAATATATTTTTTATTTCACTTTAATATTTCAAAAGCTATATAATTAAATATTCGCGTTTTTATTATATTAATTCAAAATTTTTGTGAGTTAAATATAATTATCTTAAAGTTCCAGCAGAAAAAATCCGTGTTGGAAGAGATTATCAAGTTATTGTCCCAGAATTTGTTCCAGTCAATGGTATGTTATTTAAGTAGAATTGTTCATTAAATATTTTTTTATATCTTGGTTTTATTTTTTTTAAATATGGTTTTTAAATACATTTCTACTTTCATAATTATAGATTTTATATTTTAGAACGACGATTAGATCAATGTCCTGATCGAGCATTATTGGTATGGTCTCCTACTACTGATATACCTGATCAAAAATGTAAATATGATTATTTTTATTTAACCCTTTTGTAATTAAGAAAAAAAAAGTATAGATTATAAAACAATTTATTTTTTTATAGTGGATGAATATATTATATTAGCAAAAGAAAAATATGGTTATAATGGAGAACAAGCATTAGGAATGTTATTTTGGCACAAACATAATTTAGAACGTGCAGTATTAGATTTAGCTAATTTTACACCATTTCCTGATGAATGGACAGTTGAAGATAAAGTACTGTTTGAACAAGCATTTCAATTTCATGGGAAAAGTTTCCACCGAATTCGTCAAATGGTAGAATTTTTTTTAAATAAAAACTTTGAAAATACTAAAATTATATTAAAAAATTATTTACCTTTTGTATCTTATATTTACAGTTACCTGATAAATCTATTGCCAGTCTTGTTAAATACTATTATAGCTGGAAGAAAACTCGGACTAGAACATCACTGATGGACAGACAAGCAAGAAAGCTAACAAGTGGTGGAAAAGAAGGAGAAAATGGTAGTGAAAATGGAAGTGAATTAGGTTCCAATACAGACAGTGAATCAGAAGAAAAAGTAAGATATATTCCTAATATATTTAACAAATGCATGCACTTGATGTTCATAAAAAAATAAATTTTCTCTGTCTCTCTTTTTCTATCTATCTATTTAGAATAGTACTTTGAATCATAAATTTCTTGAAATATCAGTTTAAAAATATTTTAGTAATTAGAAATACAAAAATTGTTTTATTAATTAGAATAACAAATTTATTTTCGTTGCTTGTTAACTTCTTTTTTACGAAAGTTAGAGCTTTTTATTCTGTTTTTTGCTATTTTTTTTATGAGATTATTTTAAGTAAATTAACATTTGTGCTATTGCGTGTGGTAGTGTTCTCCTTTTGCTGCATTTTACTGCCATGGCACTGGCTCGAAATCGTATATATATATAATATGCAGTAAATCGCGTTTAAAAAATGTATCCACACGGTAACGTATTCCTTGCGGTGAATGAAAGAAAATACTAAGAACACTGATCTACAATTGGTAAACATTATTGGTACTACGAATTAAAAGACAAATATGAAATGAACTTATTTACATAAAAAGAAATTACAGTGTATATTAATATTAAACTAGCATCGATTTCGTTTCTCGATAATTTTCGAAACTATTAAAAGAAAAATTTTTTAAAAATACTATGTACTATCAATAATACAAGACTAAAGCTAGTTACATTATCGTATCGTGTGTGAACGTAAATGTGGAACGTTCCAGAAATGGACGATCCACCGCGGAATACGTCGTGGAAAGAACCAAGCTGTGCCAGGAAGCCAAGGCACTGACGCCAAAGCCCCATCCGACTCGGAAAACGCCCCTCAGGTTCAGGTACTCAGCCTAAACCTTACCCTGTTGCATAGCATAGTATGCTTATTATATTTTGCTATTTTACGTCCCGTATTTATTTTTTCTCTGTCGTACATTTTTTTCCTTTACCAAAAAGACAAAATTTTGAGCAAGTAATCTACATAGTAGAATTGATAGGCTGAAACCTTACTGAGGAAAAAATGTTGAAGCCCAAATATTATCTAATACGAGGGCGATTGTCGCATCTCAGAAACTTGTTAATTCGAAAAAAAAGATTGGCTTTTTATTACTTCAAAAATTTAATAAAATTATACAAATATAAAAAATTCGGAGCTTCTGATTTTTTATGGCGGGCCGAATTAACGTTTCCGGATAGAGTCTTAAATATGCTCATGTACATATTTCATTCCTTTTTTAATGAAAAAAACTTCTAGAGATTAGTTTAGATACATGTTAAAAAATGTTAACGGAGGGAAAGGGTGGGGGGATTGTCAGAATTTATTTTAAAAGGGTATTATGTGTTGTAGGGCTCGTGTAGCAACTGTGGCGTTGCTTGTCATAGTGTTCGTGCGACGCCAAAAGGACACGCGTGTCACAGCTGCTATCTGCACTGGAGGTCAGTGAGTGCAAGTTAAATAAAATTTCAATAATTAAAAAAAACATCATTCGAGTTCTTTTTGAAATTAGAATGTTCATGCACGTAATTCATTATGGATTAACGAAGCACAGGAAGTTAATTTTGATTATTCAATTAATAAGATAGTTATACTTATAAATACAGTATCAAACAACTTCTAATATTAACATAAACTTTTGTAAGAATGCATGAGCATTCTTATCTATGCGTTAATTAATTGTTTTAAAAGAAGTTATAAAATCAAAATAATTGTAGATCAGATATATTCATTAACAAATTGGAAATGTACATTACAAATTTATTTAAATGATTTAGGCGAACTGGCGTAGCAAGACCGTTAAGTTCCATGCCAGGTCGAACAAATAAAAGAAAACCACCTCGCGGTCTCGTTGTTAATCACGATGATTTAGCAGCATTGGCTGGTCAACCCAATCAAGCAAACAACAGCTTACAAGCGATTGACACCGAAATTGTTAGTCTAAAACGCCAAGTACGTTTTCAAGTAAAATAACATGAAACGTGTGGATACATTTTTATATGAAAGATCAATATAATTTATCAGTTTATTAAAACAGTCTGAATTATCTTAATTAAATTTTTAACTTTAATACACAGATACAATCAAACAAGCAGCAAGTAAGCGCATTGAAACGTAAAACAACCGATGGTATTGATGATTTACGACCACCAGAAGTATCAAGTCGAATAAATGCTCGTTGGACAAATGATGAATTGCTCTTAGCTGTTCAGGGTGTTCGAAAGTATGGAAAAGATTTTTCTGCGATTGCTGATGTAATTGGAACAAAGACGGAAGCTCATTTACGATCGTTCTTTGTAAATTATCGGCGAAGGTATAACTTAGACGCGGTTTTAAAAGAATACGAAGCCGAAAATGGTCCAATATTAATTGACGATGAAAAAGAAGAAAAGGTAAAACATTTGCAATTTACTCTGACAATGGTATATAACATCATTCATTACATTCTTGGACATGAATGCTTTAGATGGATGTGGATCAGCCTAATGAAACAGCAGAATCATCTCAAAAGACGAAATCATCTGTAGGCCTTGGACAAACGGCTAAATAACAAATGACTATACTTTTAAATACCACCAAACGTGAAAAAAGTAATCACAGGCACTTTGATAATCGATAATATCGTGTATAAGGTATTTGTTTATAATTCAGTCTGCAATTTTTACACTTAATTATATCGCGTTGTTTTACGCTAATGCGATCCTGCATTAGGAACACCAAGTACAAGCAACAATTTTCATTGAACTTGTGTGCGAATCAGTAATCCATATAATGCATGTATGGATGAATTAATAGGGACGAAAATGTGTGAATTTATTTAGCTAGATTTATTTTTGATGTAATATGTTTGTGCATATGTCTGAAATGGAACTTTTATTAAGCAATATGGAAAAAATGTAATTCCATTAAAGACATTTAACATATGTTTCTAGAAAAGGATAAGCATCATTAAATTAATGCATCCAAGTGCAAGTATAATAACCATTTTTGTAACATCCATTGTACGTAATTACGGATGCATAGTAATTTTATTTCGAATAAATTAATTGCATTCTGTAGCATATAATATTTTTAGGTATACATAAGGGATGTCGCAGTCCCATTTTAACTAATGAAAGTAATTTAAACAAAATTACTTATTTCGAACGAGGAAAGTTTCAAACGTGAATAAATGGATGAAGAATTGATAAAATTGTATAAATATTAAAAAAAAAAAAAAAAAAAAAAAAAAAAAGGGTTTAGTGTACAACGTTAAGAAAATCAGGTATTGCTCGGTATGACAAAACAATTTATACATCAGAGAATTAATGACAATTTCATATGCGGATAATCAAGGTATCTTGTGATTCATATTTCATTACTTCAACGATTTTTTACCCGTGCTCAAATATCAACCAGATATTGTTCTGAAGTTTTGTCACTATAATATTGCTATGTTTATATTGATTTCAAGTTTTGCATGCATTTTGTGTCGACTTACGTCTTGTATATTTAATTTTTTATAAAATGTTTATAAGAAATTTACATGATTTATGTTACAAAACTTAGAGTAAAAAAATATAGATGAAAAAAAGATAAAAAGAGCAATTACTTATTTATATTTCATTTACGTAAAATATTTTTAAAATAATTTTTATGGTTATTTCCTAATTACATAAGATCTTGGTGCCAGAAGAATATTCTTGTATTGTGCCTATGCATTTTTGGGCGTATGAAAAAGAGAAATTTTAAGAAAATACAAGTTCAAAAGTTGAGAAGATATTTTTCTCCTTTCCTTTCTGCTTCTTTTTTATGTTAAGACACTTATGTATTTAAAATATGATAACATTTAAATTTACTGAGAATTAGACAATCCTCCATTCTCTATTAAACTAAAAAGAAATTAGAAAGGAAGGAGAAATTTCTTTCAACTTTTAAATTGTTCAGATAATTAATTATAATTACTCGAAACTCTAACAACATGAACTATGATACAATTTACGGCATTTGTAAAAATATTAGCAAAAGTTTAATGCAATCATTGATAAATTATTTTACTTAAAATATGAAAGCGATGATTGCGTTAAACGTTGACTTATCATTAGAAGAATAATGCTCAAGAAAAGAATACACTTTCATTCAAATTTTAACAAAGAGTATTTAATATTTTATCAAAATACATTACAATGGAAATTTCTTTTATTAGTTTTATAGAATAATAAATTTGAGGGGTTGAAAATCGTGCTATTGAGAATATCAGATTAAGGAGAATATATTTTTATGGCTTACTGCTGCATACTCGATCCAAGTGTATAAAAAAAAAGAAGAAAAAAATAATGGTTCCTGATATTTCTATTGTATTATGCAAAATTATGTAATGTATACACTAAAATTGTCTGTATTTCAAAATAATGGTGCTTCTATATTTACAAGCACAAGCTTTTGTGCTCCTATAAATAGAGGAGTATTTCACTTGTAATAAATTACTGTACTGAATTATTTTAATTGGACAAAATCCTCATACAAAAAGAATACTTTCGATAAATTTACAAAAATAGTTGTTTATTCAATGTTAAATATTTGAACAAACATAAAATATATTAGTCCGCTTTCATAAATCTATTTTCAAGAAATTATTTAGTGGTCAATTTTATATAGAATCTAATAATAATTATAAAAGGTTTATAATTATTTAGTTCAAATGAAACAATTACCATTAGGCAATATTTTCAAGAAACTTCCAACGATTTTTCATTGATTTGCGATAGAACATTTAAACCTCAAATAGATGTAATTTTACTTATAGTTTCATATGTACATTCACATTTACTATTAATAACAATAGTAATAATACCGTTAGTTTAATATTTGTCTAGGTAGTGTCTACTACTTAATGTTAATAAAAAAAAAAAAAAAAAAACACTCGCAAGCGTGTGTGCACGATTT